AAGAAGTTCCAAGAAAACGGACAACTGCATTAGTGAGAAAAAGCCCAGGAAAATTGCACTGGGGAATTTTTTCCCATCACAACAATGTACCCACTCATTCTTTTGTGGGAAACCTTACCCCACTCACCCTACATCTCTGATCTTGCTCTTCAGACTTCTTTATTGATTTCAGAACTATTTCTTTTTTTAAGTGGGCAAAAACACCAATATGCAAAAGGTCAAAATGAGACATACTTTTGGAAACTAGCCAACAGATTCATTTTGTTTGTGCTTCCCAATCAGTTTTTTTTTTAAAACAAAGGTTCTTTAAATTTGCATACAGACCACCTAGGATCACTAACAATTTGATCTAGTTTAGGAAGATGGTGACTAAGTATGGGGAAATTCCATTATCATTTCATTTTTTCAGGAGCTTTTTTTAAAAGCTTTTATTGTAAATTGAGTGACAGTTTACATGGGAAAACATTGGTTATACACTCAAACTATCGTATTTTGTTTCGTTGCAACAATTACGATCATCTCCATGCATCATCATTTAACAGTATTTGATTCTATTCTGTCTGTTTTCTTTCTTTCTTTCTTTTTTTTTTTTGATGTACACAAACACACTCAGGAATATATACAACCCCCCTTTGTTACAAAACTTCTGCCTTTACAGTTGTGACAATTACAATTTGTCATGATTAAATTACTCATTATTGAATCATAAGAATCTTATCCCCATCTCCTTTCACTAGACCCATCTAGACAAGATGAAAACTATTGGGGCGGGGGGTGTTCTACCTTTCACTGGATACTCTGAAACTAAACTCCCTCTTAAAAATTTGTAAGCCAGCCACTTTGTGCCTCTATAGCCTCCCCATTTTAGGTAATCAATGTTTAAGTTGCCTATCGCTATCAACCCTGTGTACAAACTGGATGAGAATGCTGCTTGATGGGAAGATTCCGTCCCTCTCAGTTGGTATAGTATAGGTCAAGTTCATCAATTGTAGCAAGTTTCATTTGCTTCCTTTATCAAATTTCTTTGTCTTCCTCTAGTTGAGCTCTGGTCATCAAGCCATTGAAGATAGGTCAAATGGGTACTATCTGCGAGTTTGGGTGTTCTGGTGCATCTCCCACCACTTCAAAATAGCTGGATGCTTCACTCTCAACTCTAGCGCTCTGTGGCTAGGTTAGCGTCCATGGGCTTAGGAATTTCCAAGTCTCCCCAAACTTTGGACCAACCAGCCCTTCCTCTTTCTCTCATCTCTAGATTGATAGGAGTCTATGGAATGTAGTCAAACTCAGTCCATATCTTCATTACTGACTTTCCCTCACTTCCACTCACAACTAGACCAATGTGATCACCAGAGAGCTTACATGCCTGCTTGTGTGTACCCTTTGAGTTTCAGTTTTGGAGGGGTTGTGTCCTGAAGGGACTTGATTGCTTGCCTTGAAGGTTCCCTGGTGAACAGCTTGCTTGTTCTTGTAATAACCAAACAGATTACCATTCTTGTTTTTGTTTTTACCTGCTGATCTTTCTTTCAGGAAGTATCTTCTGTTCCTCTAGTCACTCCAGGCTGGTTTGCATGCCCTCTCAAGTAGGAATGTCTCATCTCAGGGTTGGGGTTCAGGATTCCATCTAAGGTCCTATACATTACAAAGGCTCTGCAGGAAGACTATTTCACAGGGCAAGTTCTAGAACCCCTTTTAAGTATTCCAATCAGTTATAGGCTGAAGATGGGCTTACAAGCTTTTTGTCATCATGTTTCCCAATATTTCTTTCCATCCCACTCAAGTGTCTATTTTACAATAATAGGCAAGAGAAACCAATATCCATGACATTTTAATTTTATTTTCCCTCTTTTACCCATTCAGACTGTACCTTGATACCTGTATCATAGAGCCCTGTTATTCCAAAGTTGAGCATACATCCCTATTTACCTCTGTCCCATTTAGCCCCTGCAAACCTACCTGTGTTGCCCTATCTATCTTGTTCTTCCATTTCCCTCCCCTTCCTTGTATATTACCCTCCCCAACACTGGAACTATGATGTGTCTATCCCCTACCCTGTGTTTTACCCTCCCCCTGCCTCCCAACCCTGGTAACTAACAAAGATTTTTTTTTTCTTTTCTTTTAGTATAGGTTTCTTTCTTTCTTTTTTTTTAAATAAGTTTTTATTGTGAGGTTTACATGGGAGAACATTAGCTTTACGCTCATCCTATCATATTTTGTTTCATTGCAATAATTACAATCCCCTCCACGCATCATCATATAACCCCACCACCCAACGGCCCACCACCCCTGGCCACCAGCACACAGCCCTTCTCCCTCCCTTAGTGCAATGTCCCCAGCCGCTCCATCTGTACATGTCATCTTCTCTGTCTTCATCCCTGGCATCACTGCCTCTCTGGGTAGGATCCAACTCTCCATTCATCTCATTTGATGGTCCCAGGGACTTCCGCTCCTGGACTGTAAAATCAATCACTCTCCTTCTTTTCTCAAAAAACATCTACCTCTATATTTCCTAGCCTCACAGTCAGACCTGATGGCAATTATTCACTATTATACCACAAGAGTCTCATCCCTATTTTCTTTCACCAGCCCAGTCCCAACAGATTGGAAATCATTCAGTGGTAATTCTACCTTCCCCCACCCAATTTGGAACTAAGCTCCCTCTTGAAAGCTTGTAAGCCAGTCACTTCTTGCCTTTATAGGCCACCCCCCCCCCCATTTAGGGTAGCCAATGTTTATGTTGCCCATTCCTGCCAACCCTGTTTACCAAGGGGGTGGGACTGATCCTCGCTGTAAAGATTTCTTCCTTCTTTTGAGCTATTGCATCCATAGATATAGGTCAAGTTCATCAAATTATATCAGATTTCTCCCCCCCCCCCCCACTTCTTTCTTCTTCTAGTCGAGTTCTGATCATGCAGCCATTGAAGCCAGGTCAAGTGGGCACTATCTGCAAATATGGGTGTTGTTGTGCATCTCCCCTCACTTCACATCAGCTGGACGCCTCACTCTCTATTCCAGTCCTCTGTGGCCATGGCACTGCCTCTGGGCCCAGGAGTCCCCGGGTCTTGCAATACTGCTGGTCATCCAGGTCTCCACCTGGGCTCATGGGGGTCTACTGAATGTGGTTGGGCTTAGCTTGCAACTTCATTGCTGTTTTTTCGCCCTCTTCCTTCATTGGTGAGCAACGTGGTCATCAACCAGACCACACACCTGCCCATGTATTCCCCTTGAGTCTGTCTTGGAAAGGGGCTTGTTCTGAGGGGTCCTGACCACTTGCCTTAATGGCTCCCAGGCAAACAGCTTACCCTTTCCTGCAGCAATCAATCAGAGCGCCATTATTGTTTCGAACATTTCCTGCCAGTCCTTCCTTCATGAAGCATCTTCCGTTCTTCTAGCCACTACAGGCTGGTCCACTCATTCCCTCCAATGGAAATCTCCTATCCCAGTCAGTTCTGCATGGGGCTCTGGACTCCACCCATGGTCTTGTGCAATGTAAAGGCTCCACAGGAAACCTCTTTAGTATAGGTTTCTTTTCTTAAGCTTTTACAATAATGATTTTACGCAATATTCATCCTTTTGTGAGCTCTGGTAGCATAGTGGTTATGAGTCAGGCTGTTAACTTCAAGATCAGCAGTTTGAAACTACCAGCTGTTTCATGTGAGAAAGATGAAGCTTTCTGCTACCGTTAAGATTTACAGCCTTGGAAACCCTACATAGGGTCACTGAGAGTCAGAGCCGACTCGATGGCACACTACCACCACCACTAATTTCACTCAGTATAATGTCCTGAAGGTTTATGCATGTTATGCAGTGGTTTGCAGCTTCATTGTTATTCCTCAAGGCAGCATAATATTCCATTGCATGTATGTACAAAAGTTTGTTTATCCATTCTTCCATTGATGGGCACTTAGGCTGACCTTGACTTCTTTTTGATCCCCAAACTTAGAAAATATTTAAAAGTAACAGGGTCTGAGTCCTTTGAGGGTGCAAAAACTGCCATTTTGAGGTAGGTGAATCAAAGAGCACATAAGACTTCTTTCCAGAAGGGTTAGATATGTGGGAACACCATCTTCAGAAGTGCATAGCCCTAAGTAGAGGACATGTTGAGAAACAATAACTTTATATTTTAATATTTTTATGTATTAAAGGTGTCTATGATTCAAAAAAATCAAGTTTTTCACTTATCTTCATATAATTAAAACAGCAATGGAGGTCAGTGTTGTAGATTTTGACATTTATTTCTAGATTGATATAACCTTGTCCAACTTCACCAAAAACTCGTTTGTTTCTATTCAGGGGCCCTGGTATGGCGCTGAAGGATAACCACTAAACTGCTAAACAAGGTGGACAGCTCAAATCCACCAGCTGCTATTTGGTCGCTATTAGTTGGAATCGACTTGACAGCGCTTAAAAACAACCACCACTCAGAGGTTCTAGGGTCAGTCCCCAAACAGTTTTTATTTTCCCTTTTTAGCCCAGATAGAGGCTCGCTGAAAGCCAAAATGCGTGACAGCATCTCAACCAGACCTGTCTTGCTGCTACCACAAGCAGCTGATACTACAGTTCCCGGAAAGCACCGCGAGAATACTGCAGCGTGCGAAGCCCTTACTTGGGCTCCGCCCCATCGTGGGCTATGCTGGGAATTGTAGTTCACAAGCGACTTCCAACTACTTATTTTTTCCTTACATTAGGCATTCTCACTTAGAAAATGCTGATACTCTGCCAGATAGAGCTCTCCTTTCATAATAGGAGCTAAAATAGCCAGAAGAATCCCCTTTCCTGCCTTCTAGTCCGCACCATGTCCGTCCCATGAAATCGAGGCCCGCCCTTGTCCACACCCATTCCCTTGACAGCTGGGTTCTGCCCGACTGACGGCCGCAGCTGGGAGCGCGCAGGGTCATCAGCACGTCGCCGCGATAGGCCCGGATCGGGGGCGGGCCGAGCGATAGGGCCCAGCGAGGGGACGCGCACGCAGGCACGCAGTGGCATCACGTGGGCGTCAAGGATCGCAGTGCGCGCGGCCGCGGAGGCGGGTGTGGGGTTGAGTCAGTTGTGAGGCCCGGAGCTGCTGATCCGCCGGGCAACTGGGCGGACAGGCAACAAACTAGCGGGCGGAAGCGAGCTCTGCGTCGAGAGCCTGGTTCCGTCCTCTAGTCTGCCCACAGCCCGTTGCCGGCCGTCGTCCCCCGCCCCCACCAGCAAACCGCCGCCGCGGGCGCGCCCCCGTTCTGCACTTCTTTCCGATGGCGTCCGCCTCCGGGGCCATGGCGAAGCACGAGCAGATCCTGGTCCTCGACCCGCCCACAGACCTCAAATTTAAAGGTAGGCAAGAAGAGGGCACCGCGGATACTCAGGAGGGCGAGCGGGGCTCTTCTTCCGAGAGAGCACCGTGGGTTTTTATTTGAGTCGGGAAGTGGGTGCTGAGGGAAAGTCTGCTGGACTAGCCCTCCCCAAGTGCAGGCACTTAAATTTCCAGGCGTCTTCTTCTACGCCCGTCCTCTGGCCTCCTCTCCTTCTCCGCCTAATACACACTCTCGGCGCGCGCACGGGCGGGTGGACGGGGAGGCCCTCCGAGGGCCGGGCCGGGACCAGCCGCCGTCGCCGCCATCTTGGGCTCCGGGAGCGGTTCCCCGGGCGTTGGGCCTGTGGGCCTCCTCCCCGTTCTGGGCGCCACCGGCTGGGTCCTTGGCACGGGAGAACCATCTGACTTTCGTTCTGAGGGCGCGTGCGGGTGGTGACTTTAGAGAGTGTGCTCTTGACTGCGATTGAAAGCAGGGGTCCGGAGGTGGCGCATGCTGCATCGCCTCCTGCTTCCGAACTGTCAGGGCGGGTAGGAGGCGAGCGAATGGTGCAGCGACTCCTTGACTCTCTGCGGGAGAAGAACCATCTCGTCTCCTACGGCCTAGGAGAGAGCTGGGTGGGGTCAGAAATTTTGTACAGAGTCCATAACTCGGCTCTTCTGTGCATCGAACACCGAAGGTAGCCCCTGAAGTCTCCTGGAGATCGCTTCCCCAGTTATAGTGTCAGGGGCCAAGAGCGTGCGAGGAGGAAAGCTATGCGTCAGCCTGAGAATTGATAGTATTACATTAATGATAATAGGTCTTCCTGTTCCGATGTGACATTTCAGATTACCAGTGTTAGTTTAGCCTATTGACTTAAATCTTTGGCTCCGGAATCATCGGTGTTGGTGACTTTTGTCTTGAGAGTTGTGGTTTTCCAATAAACCCGATAAAAGCCAAAATACCCCGCTCTGAAACTTCGTTGACATATTTTGTAGCAATACCAGTGATAAGTTTATTAGTCTGACTTGTGATGCTTGAGGAATCTAGGTGCTGTCTGGCCTGTTTTGCTGTTTGGCATATTTCAATATGTAGGATGCTTTATGGAAGAGAGTTAAACATTTTCTTGGGGAGCATAGGGGAGATCCTTAAAGATTTGAAGTACTTATTAATGAAAGATCTGAAAAGAAAGCAAGTTCTGTCATATCTTTAGTGGAATGTAAGGTGAATCCCATTTGAAGCCAATCTTGTATTTATTTCAGTTTCAGTAACTGGTGAGCACAATTTTTGTGAGATGTGTAGTAATTCCAGTGCTAAAAGACAAAAATCACATCATACACACACACACACACACAGGTAAATTAAAAGGCAGTATTAGGAAGGTTTGTTTTCAATTATCATGCTCTCTTCTTATTAGGAGAGTAGTATTACATAACTCCTTAACTATGCAAGCTTTAGTGCTTTTGCAAATTTCTTTCAATTGGACTTTTGAGTAGCTTGTTAGGTAAGGATTTATTTTAATACATCTCAAGAATTTCGAGGTGCAGTGACTGCATTTTGTTGTGGCAAGTTTATGTGTATACCATAATTTTGTACAGATCGTAGCTGCGGGGAAAAAGAACCTTTGGGGAATCTTGAGAGTGCCTAACTCAAATAGCCATTATTTTAAGTTCAAGGAATTTTAACTTAAACCTTTATGGCTTTTTAGAATCTTAAGTATTTTTTCTTTACTTTTTGAGAATGTGAGCTGGATAACCATGTATGTATTGCCATTCGAAAATTAGAAGCCGTTAAAACAATTTGTAGGTCAGGAAATGCCAACTGAGTTTGAAGGTTTCTCCCTAGAGAAGTTGTGATATTGCCATAGTTGAGAGACTAATAATAATGGAGATGTTGATTAAAATAAAACAAAAACCTTACACAATTTACCTGTAAATCTCATTTTAAGTATTTAAAAATTTTAGCTGTGACTAAAGAACAGTTTATTTTTGTGTTATTAGTAAAAGTTTGGGCATCAATGACTATCTTTTTAAATGAACTTTAAACAAATGTGATTTATTGAAAAGTGCATAGGATACATGTTCAGTTAGGGCATTTATTTAGCAAAACTGAGAGTTTTGTGATTGTATATTATATTCCAATTACAGGGAACTGCTCCCCCCCCCTTTTTTTTTTTGGTGCATTTTTTGTTAGTAATATTGTGCTTAAGCCAGAGACTACCAGGAAGCTGGTAGCATAATGGTTACAAGTCGGTTTGCTAAACCTCAAGGTCAACAGTTCGAAACTACCAGCTGTTCTGCAGGAGAAAGATGAGATTTACTACTCCTATAAAGATTTACAGCCTCAAAATTATATGCAGGGTCACTATGAGTTAGAACCAACTCTGGGCACACCACTGCCCTACGTACTACATACAGTGTTGTGATGCCTTATTTGGTGATACTGTCATTCTCAGATGTAATGTTTCCAACCTCCACAGGTCAGATTTATCAAGGTACTGATAAGAAAAGGCAATAATAATGAAAATTACAAAATTTTGTTATTTGACATAATCAGAACTGACTTATGACTAGAGTATAAATAGATGTCATTTGGTGATATGGAACCTCATTTGTAAATTGGGTATCTCTATTAATGGTATTTAACAATGAGAATTCATTCAATAGTTACCAGCTTAATTTTGAGGATTCAATAGTAAGCAAGGTAGAGAATAGATTCACAGAGTTAGTCTATTGTGTAGTGGGGAATGCAAACAAATAGTAAAAAGTGTTAGGTTCTATATTCCCCTGAGTAACTCCCAGGACTAGTGAGGGAGACATAGAAGGCAGATGTTATTGTTAAGTGCCGGTGAGTTGGTTCCAACTCATAGTGGCCCTGTATAGGGTTATCAAGGAGCAGCTGGTGAGCTTGAACTGCCGACCTTGTGGTTCAAATCGACCTTGCAGTACTGATATAACAGGCTTAATCATGTATGAGGAAAGTAGCCCCAATTACTTTAGGAAACCTTCAAGGAATAGACTAATTTTCAGTGGGTGGGGGTTGGACAAAGGGTGTGGTTGAATAAGCATACTTGTTTGAGAGAATGGGTGCCATATGCTTCAATGTCCAATACTTTATAGAGTGTTTCAGTTTAACAGTGAGGGTAATAGGAAGGGTTGGGAGGGAAAAGGATATAATGAATTAACAGGTGACATCTTGGGTCATTTGAGTCCTTCATCCTCAGTGTTATTTTAATCAGAGAAGTAATTTGCTTTGATGGAAACCTTGTTATTGAAATGTACTAGTTCCACACTAAGTGAGGAGACTCATTAGCCCATTCATGCTTAGTTTGATGATTTTCTTAGTTCTTAGTTTAAGTGAAAATCTGTTAGAAGATAATTTTTGGAAAATTCTCTGTCGTTTTCTAGTAGATTTATTTTGATTCCACCTTTGTCTAAGACTGCTTCTTTAAATAAGAGTAACTCATTTAACCGTTCTGAAATTTGGTGGTGAGTTTTTCTGTTAGCAACTTAATACAATTGTGTTGGTATGAATTATCAGCTTTACACATTTGGAGAAGCTGGTATCAGTTTAGTATAGTCTCTTTATACTTCCATATTTTATTCAAATTTTTACTGTATCACTTATTGTTAATGTATGAAAATGCTTTTATAAAGATGTAATAAGAAAGAAAAGAGATACTTTGAAACTCAGTTCAGCTCTTGACAGGAATTCAGATTTGAGTATTATATGAGAATTTTTTTATTCTTAAATTTTTCCTATTCCATATATTTTTTTTTTATTATAAAGCATTTTATTTTTCCTATTGTTAGCAATTTTGGGAGAAATTTTGAGAAAAGAAAGATTAGGAAATGTTAATGATGTATCATTCCTTCTAATGATGCTGGGGGAAGGAAAATAGACCAGATTCTTTGTATTGAATGTGGTTCATAGCAATAGCAAATTATTAAAGGATTATAAGTTCTTTTAGGGATCAAGGACCTATGATGTTAGTGTCAACCAGAGCATTTTTGAATTGCAATACATCTCTTAAATAAACACAAATGAGAATATAAAATAACCCTGTTTTCACTGGATATTTGGCATATTTTTAGGTATTTTAGGTTGTTTCTGTTAAGTGCCATCAAGTCAACTCTGACCCATAGCTACCCTATGTGAGCTTGAACTGCCTACCTTGAGGTTCAAACTGACTTTGCAGTCCAGCATGTTAACTAACCCACAGCGCCACACTATTCCTGCATCCTATTTCACAATGGTTACATGAAACCCCAGAGTTCTGGTGTGGTGCTGTAGATTACTGCACTGGATTGCAAAGTCGGTTTGATCTGAAAGGTTGGGGAAACCCTATACAGGGTCACTGGGTCAGAACCAACTTGATGGCACTTAACAACAGCAACAACGTGAAACTCTTGGGGTGATTCCATCTCCCTGCCCCATCCCCCAAAATAACATCACACACAACCATCAATGTCTTTTTTTTTCCATTCCTTAAAAGCTTTTAGATGCTTTTGATTGTCCAGAGGATAAAAGTCTAGTTTTCATACAAGCCCTTCCATGATGGGCTGTCTCCTCTTTTAATGCTTTATTGTTCTTCATACATCCATATTTTCTTACCTGAGAAAGAAAAATTCTGCTGATATCCAAAGTTGTTTGTTCTTCTTTCTTTGCTGGCCAAGGTAATATCTCTCATGGCTTATACTTAAACCATATTCCATCAGGTAATTTATTCTCTCTCGTCTGCAATCACTGACTGATTCCTTTCAGTGTATAAATACTCTGAAGTCTTTTACTTAAAATACAACAAAATGTTTCCTTTACCCTCAGACACCTTCATGTCCTTCAATTCCTTTGCAGGCTATTTAGAAAAGTAGTCCATGTTCACTGGCTGTAGTTCTTCCTTTCTCGCTCACTTTTCAAGTCCACCATAGTACTATTGCTGGCCCTGATTACCAATTACATGGATCATTTCCAATGTTGATCATATTTGATTATCTCTTTGAGACTTGACATTATTGACAGTTCACTTTTTAAAAACCCAATTCT